TATAAAAGCAAGTTACATATAAGATTTGATTCTCAAAATAGTGTTGCCTACAAGCTTCTCTGTAGTCTATTCCATATATTAGCCGTATGACCCTTTTCTGTGAGACGAATATTTTGCTGAGTTTTGACGAACATCCCCAAATGGCAATATTATAAGAAATATGGAAATATACAACAGCAAAGTGAACATTTTGAAGTTGAGCCTTATCGAAATTGGACCTCAATTGTCTAATAGCATAGTACCCACTGTTCACTTTCTTACTGACATGATTTATACCCGACTCCCATGTCATGTTACCATCGATAAAAGTACCTAGAAATTTGGGGTTGTCTGATGGTTTAATTATTGCGTCTCTAACTCTAACATGAAGATTATCAATTTTTCTATTAGTTCTGGAATAAAACTGCATCAGAACAGTTTTCTATTCTATTTAGCAAATTTGCAAAATTCCAGTTTTCATTCCTATGTATAATTTATGAGAATTCATTGAACATATATTTTTCTCCACCACTAGCTATAAAACCTACCACCATCTACTCCTTTTCAAGGCGTAAAGTGTGTTTTTTCTCTACCAAGGTACTTTTCGACATTTTATGAATCACTAGTCAATCAATACATAGCCACATCTGTTGAAATTAACCTGAATTCACTGTCCTGGTGTGAGATTCCTAGGATTCAATAACAAATTGTCATCTGCTATCATGGTCATGGCTACTAGATTTTAATAAGAATTGAGAATAAGTGCTTTCGTAGTGACAATAGGTCCATATTTCAGTTTCACAGAACTAAAATGTTTGAAATGTATCGCTAGAGGTGAAACAAATTTATTATACACCTTGGTAATAATAGTTATATATTCACCAAGGTAGCAAAGAATATCAGTATTACCCAGGGACCAAGATTGATTTAAGGTGCCGTGGTAATAATATTCTTTACTACTGAGGTATACAGGGTGTATCTAAATAATACTGAAAAAATTCAAGGGGTGATTTCTTGTGAAATTCTAGCAAATAAGGGTCATATAAACATGTATTCTAACTTTCTCCATTTTTGATATACAGGATGTTGAAGTTGGAAGTATTACTTTTTTTATTTATAACCTCCCTGTATAAGCTTTCATGGTGCCAAAATTCAGTATGGTTAGAGACTGAGGAAGCCCGAAAATTTCAAAATGATTGTGATTGGAGTTATTGAGTAATCTCAATGATAGTCTTGAAAACACCTACAGTAAAATTTGGAGTCAAATCGAATTTTTATTGTTTTCTCAAAGTAAAGCTAGATACAAAAATTACACAATAGTTATTTATGCAACAAGTGCAAAAAGTGAATGTTTATTGCACTCGACGTGAAATTGTCGAGTGCAATAAACAATTTTTGCACGAGTTGCATACAACATTTTTTCTACGTTCATGCAAAAAGCAAAAAATGATTTATTGAGGTGCGGCACTAGGTACAATTCTGTTAATTGTCAGAATTAATTTTTGACTGACGTTTCTATAACCACAGTTGCAATATAAAAAATGTTTGTCATGATGACAGCACGTTGAAGTAGAATGACAGATGAGTGCAATAAAAACTTTATTGCACTAAGTGCAATAAAGAACTTCTTTTTCCACTAAATATAGTTCGATAAAGTTCTGCTTTTTGCATGAATGTAGAAAAAAAATCAAAAAGTTGTTATTTCAATAGTGAAATCTCATAAAAATATGACATTCACTATAAATATCGATAAATTTTTTCACTGTGACGCCACTGGAAATATTATTTCGAATCTAATTGCACCAGAAGAAGCTCCATATTACTATTAACAAAACCACATCGTTTTATTGAAATTGATGGAAAGACAATTGAGTAATAAAATAAAAAACGATGACCTATTGTCATTAAAAGCACTTATGTTCAATTCTTAGCCATATATTGAATTGTTTTCACCACTAGCAATACATTACAATCATTTTAGTAATGTAAAACTATGAAAGCACTTCTTTTCCATTCTAATTAAAACCAAGTAGCCATGACCATGACAGCATATGACAAATCGTTATTGATAAATATCTACCAGATTCGGGTTACATTTCTACGTATGTCGTATCAGAATAGTGAATTCAGGTTAAGTATATCAAAGGTGGCTATCTCTTTATTGACTAGTGGTTCATAATAGGCCGAAAACTACCTTGGTGGTAAAAACACACGCCTCGAAAAACAGTAAATAATGGTAGGTTATATAGCTAGTGGTGGAAAAAGAATATTTTTTCCACGGAACTTTAATCATGATATTCTTTACTACCTTGGTGTATAAATAACTATTACTATTTTTCGTGCGATCAAATTGGAGTTCAGAAAAAATCGTGAATATACCGAGTGACACAGACTCATTGTATACCCCCTTCTCTAATTTGTTTTTCTAGCTATATCTCTGAAATTTGGAACATCGAATATGTTCACTAGAGGGCACTTTCTCATATTTTAGGATTTTTTTCACCTTCCGGTTTTTCTGGAAATGACATCAACTTTCGATTTTCAAATAGAACACCCTATATTTCATTTCATAATTCGTTAGAGATTATTATAACAAATGCAACGCTACCGGGTTTGATAGGGTTATTCCAAACGATTACGAAGATATTTGCTTTCGAAGTTTCCATGTGATCAATGAGTGTTACAGAGATAGAAGTTTCGATACTGCACCGTCACACCCATTGATCATATGGAAACTTCGAACTCAAATATCTTCGTAATCGTTCGAAATAATTCAATCAAACCAGGTATCGTTGAATTTGCTATAATTATCATTGCCTGAGGAAGTATTCCCAACAACATGTAATCTCCAGAAGTTCAAAAAAATTGCAATACCTACCTCCTGTCCCTATCCTCCTTAGGAACGCACGATGTTCTTTGAACATTATAGGGATTCCCTTTCGTGCGCTCCAAGCGATAAAAAAACCAAATATGTAATGAAATATAGGGTATTCCATTTGAAAATAGAAAGTTGATGTCATTTCCAGGAGAACCGGAAGATAAAAAGAATCCTAAAATCAAGGTTGGTAGAACTGATGACTATTTTGTAGAGGAAGGTTGCCTCGATCGCACCCCGCGAGTAACCTTGAGTAACTCATGACGTAATAGGCCCTTTCTTTTGCACGAAAAGTGTAGCACTCTCGTACACTTCGTGTATGATATGTACGCCGGCGATTGGCCGGCGCATGTATTGAGTTGACAGTTGTCAGTATTTTCGAATATTTGAACCATTTTGAACTTCGGTCACTTCTTGTTGAAATTCGTACAAGTGTAATGAGACTAGTGAATTTAGTTTGTGTTTCCATTAATTTCCATAAGATGAGTCTATTCGTGAGAAATGGATTCAATTTTGTGGACGTAATTTTAATTCATTTAATACCAAAACTTGGCGAATATGTTCTGCCCATTTCGATGCCGAGGATTTTGAACGGCACAAGCAGAATTGCTAAATCACACACCAAAGAGAAGAAAACTCAAGGTAGGAATCCCATCAATAATACCCAATACAACAAGAGAAACACCATAAGTATTCAAGTAGCTCCATAATTATGCTCCATACCTCAAAACACACATACCTGGTACCACGACCTGGTAAATAGCCCCTGGAACAAAATTTCAGATAGGTATTCCTCTCTGTACTACTGATCCATCCAAAATTGCCTTCTCATTTCGAAGATCGAAGGTATTATACAGAAGTATATGTAAATATCCATATTTTATAATGGTACTTACTTATAATTATATACTATAAATTAATATAAATATGCTGAGCAGACCAAAAAGTTTGTATCATGTTTGTATACTCTATTTGGTAAACATTTCATGACATGTCGCTTAAAGGTTGACAACTTGTCGTCTTACTGCCTGTGACGTCACGAGTGACCGTTTCCCCCCTTGCCGCACTATCGATCGAGGCAACCTTCCTCTACAAAATAGTCATCAGTTCTACCAACCTTGCCTAAAATGTGAGAAAGTGCCCTCTAGTGAACATATTCGATGTTCCAAATAAGCCATTTGGACGAATATGCGTAAAGAGCTACTTACTGAGGCTGTATCTGGTGTGTTCTTGCCTACTTTCTATAGTGGCCGTAGGTAAAACTACCTACTTATTCTGAATACTCTATTTATAAAAAAGACAGAAAATAATAATAATGATGATAATACGCACCTAATCGATTAAAGAATTATAATAAGTTGCATAGAATGCTGAAAGGTAGCTTCCTATATCTTGTTTCACAAGGATATAAAGCAAGGGAAAGATCTATACTAAAAATTATAATTATACTTCTTGATGTTTTATTTTGAATTTATGTTATTGACATTTTTCATGCTTCGAGGTGAACTATTGAAGTTTTGATCTTTTTTAGTTAAATTAAGGAGTTGGTTTGAATTACGTCTTGTTTGATATGAGTGGTTTATCTTAGGAATGATTGGTTTATTATGAACATATTTGAGAGCTGAAAGCATATAGTCTAACAAGTTATTATTTGTGAATAATGGCTTGGCACTGTCTCTACTTCGTTTTTTGAAAATAGTTTTCAAAATGTAGTTTTGGGTAACTTGCAGCTGCTTCAAAATGGTATCATATGCAGCCCAAACACTTATTCCATATCTGAGTAAAGATACAACTAAACAATAATTATAAACAACCGACAAATTTTCTTCTCTCAAAATATTTTGCAGTATGTAGAATTTATATATATTGTTCTTCTGATTCGCTTACTAATAAATTCAGTGTGTTCTTGTCATTTCAACAATTGGTCAATGAACAAGAGTTTTATTTATTTATTATTCTGTTGATTTCTATTGGATGTAGATTTTTTTGAGATACATATTATCATAATTTGTATTAGACCAAACTCTTTTGGAATCAAAATATTCAATTTATACTTTCAATGATTGCATTTATGTTATCAATGAAATAGTGATTGAAACGAGCAGCTTTAGTTTGATTATCTCTTATCCTTATTTGATTATTGCAGGACGATCGGTGCCAACTGTACGACCAATTTGCAGACGACGCGATGTCCGGGCGTGTGTCCCGCGCTGGGGGACTGCCATTCGTGTTTGATACACGGCGCGGCGGGGCGGGTGCCGATGGTGTCGGCAGCTCATAAGTTGGGTGAGGGATGGTGTTTTTTTTAAATGAACCTGTTTCAGTGAGAAACTTATTTTAATTATTTCGAAGTACTAATAATAGCAAGTTCACTGTCGCAAACCGTTTTTTCGTCAGAGCTCTGTGCATTTTTCAAATGATTATTGAATTCCACGATATTTCATAAGAAGAAAAACGTGGGAAAACGCGTGACGTAATCTAACTTGAATAATCCAATGCAACTATATAAGATTCTACTTAACATCCATTCTCTATTTCGATGAGACAAGTGCAAGAATATTTCTGATTGTCATTTCTATCAGAATATGGAATGGTAATTTGTGGGCTGAATACTTACTGCAGATAACAAAAAATCCAACACATGACTGAAGAATCAGATAACCTGAGGATTATATTTGAATATTCGCAGTATTCGTTAGACTTCTTGATTAAATGATAGGATTTGGAGATGAAGGTAACAGACGAAATTGACGTTAGAATGTTGGGTTACACTTCTTCTCTTGTGTGAAGTGTAAATATTTTGGGTTTAAATAAAATCTCGATCATTATTAGGAATATTAGGATATTCTCATTGGTACTGAAGCATCTTGCAAGATATACAGAGTGAGTCATAACTATTGGGACATAGGCTATGGACGGATTATTTGGACCAAAATATGGCGATGGAACCAAATATACCTTGATAAAATATTGCTGAGGAAAAAGATACAGGGCGTTTCAATCAAATAATAATATAATATTTGAAATCCTTTTCCGAGACTTTGAACTGTTCAATTGCATTTTTCTCGAAATCGGATGAAAATATCGTTTTCAAACAAGAGTACCAATATAACGTAGAAATTATGTTTATCTCATATTTTCTAATCAATATCACTGAAAAGTTTCGTCAAAAAAAGTTCAGTCGATTTCATCATCAGGAATCATTCACGTGTCCCCCTGTAACAAATTGTAGAATAATACATACAATTTTGATAACAAATGATAAATATACAATGAAATTATTAACCTCGTTATCAAGAAAAAAACGACAAAAAAATCAACTTTATCGCCCTGTATCTTTTTCCACAGCAAATTCGGTCCTATCGCCATATTTTGGTCCAAACAATCCGCCCTAATCCTATGTCCCAATAGTTATGGCTCACCCTGCATAAGTATTCAATAAGTGATGATTAGAAATCAGGTGGAACCATTGATTTCTGTGAATGTGAATACTATTGTCATTGGTCATATTGCATCTCTAAGGTAATTACTAGTTATAAATTTGACAGCGTCGAAAAATGTCATTGGTTGTTAAGGTGCCGATATTAATTAATGAAAAAAATATATTTGTGATGATTTTAAATAACGAATGATTACATCAAATACTAAAATAGGTATGTGGCGTAAATTCGATTAGTGTATACAACCCCAATGTGTATTCTACCAGAGAAATCAATTTTCGCTACCTGTGTCATTTTTTCCACTACTAACCTGGTGAATCGCCATTGTTCATTTTCTCACACAAGCGATTTACATGTTTCGAATGTAGTTCCTTAGTTTAATTTGTTATAAGTTATTATGATAAAGAATATTCTCAGATAAATAATGAACATGAAAAAATGAATATATTTATAAAGAAATACATTGAGAATTCGCATTCTCTTTGTGATGGATATATCAATTCTTTCCCGGTTTATTCAATAGAAAACAATTACTTTTCTGGCTATATGCCACGACGAACATTGAATTATATCTATTGAACACACGATAAGAATTTGAAAACAAAATCTTCCGAAGTTGAGAATTTGCATTCTCCTTCAGATAAAAATATGTATATGCACATAATATCATTCTGAATATTCAACAGAAAACAACTATTTTCCTGGCTATTTGCCACGTCGAACATTGAATTATATCTGTTGGACATCCAAATGGACAGCATGAAAAATAAAAATCCTCTGAAATTCTCTCTCAAATTAGATAAATAATATGATATATTATATGAAAATATAACTTATCAATATGATCAGTATTGAAATTGAAATGTATAGGAGAAGTACACTTGTATAAACTCTGATCTTGATGAGCTCGGAACTTCCAAAAAAATCATTCGTATCAGTGATATGGAAATTATATCTCATAAACAGGTTATATGACTTTATTCGAATTAACTCATTTAGGATATCCAACCCTCCTCAGTAACCTGAAGTCCAGTTATTTTTTCAGCCATTCTTCATGATATACACAATTTTCTCTCTATAATATAACTAAGACTATAACGAACTGACATCTGAAAATTATTGTTGACATTCAATCCCTGTCATCTGGTTGTTTTTGTTTCTGGATGCATGATAATTTGATATTCATCATACAGAACGTGGAAAGAAGCTTCTTTTCACTGCGGCTCGGGCATGCAATATCCAGTACTTCAATCGCAAATTATTAACAACAGTGTAAATTCCAACACCAGCTTCTCTATGATGATGGTCCATCAACAACTGTGTATATCTATGTTTTTGGATCAAAAATGATTGGATACTTTGCATCAATATCTATGTCACAGTCACTGGAAAGTATTTCTCCAAGTCGAACTATACTATAACTTTGTCCAAGAATGCTGACAGTTGGAACAGGTTACTACACTTGGGAATAGTTTTACGCTGAAGTAACTGACGGAGGTCTTCTGTGAATGATTCTTTCTGGCTTTGTCAAACCCATAGTATGTTGGCTTTATCTAGTGATTCCACAAAAAGAAGTAGTTGAGGTGATCTCTCATTTTTAGGAAGGCGAATTCCTTTGATCCAATGTAAAATCCATGTAGTTGATTGGACCAATCTCATCCACTTAGAAAACTGCTCGATACCCGGTAGATCTTTTTCAGCAGACCAGGCAGACATATTCTTTTTCCATTTTATCACACCGTTCTACTGGCTCTATTCGCCAAAACTCATTAATTTGTTTCAAGAATTGAGGACCTGTTAACCAAGAACTATTGACATTCAACTCCAAATTCTTGGTGGCCTGATCAGCTACATTCAAAGCAGATGGGACCCAGTGCCATTGGGAAATATCTGTGTCTTCTTGAACCTCTCTTATTCGACAAGCAACAAACTTACGAAATCTTCTTGATTAAGAACATATCTGTTTCAGAACCAACAACGAGTCGGTCCAAAAATGAACATCTTTAATGCAGTGCTCCAGTTCATTTTGTACTGTTTTGGCAACCCTGCTTGCTAGTACAGTTGCTTGAAGCTCAAGTTTAGGTACTATCTGTTGGTCAAGTGAAGCAACTTTGAACTTTGATGTTACGAACGACGAATGATATTCTCCATCAATCTCGCATCTCAAATAGGCTACAACGGCGTACGCATTATCAATTGCATCGCAGAAGATGTGCCGATCGACCATCTTCATAGATGCGAATTTCGGAAAATATTACCTCGAAATGAGTATTGGAGGATGTGCCTGCAAATCATCAAGCCAAAGTTCCCATGAGATAAACAAACTCTCAACAATCTCCATGTCCCAATCTGTACTGAGTTTCCATATTTCTTGCATGAGTTATCATGCTTTAATCATCAAAAGTGCAAGAAAACCAAGGGAATCGAAAATGGACATAATGGTTCTGGGAACTTTCCTTTTCGTTGGTATCTTCAGTCCGTTCATAATTTCTGTTGGTAACTTCTTCAGGTTCAATGTAAATATGAAATTGTCATCAGAGGAGGACCAACGCAGACCTAACACCCGTTCAATTATCAAATCATCTTGAACAGAGGCTCGAAGATTTTCAGGAATTAACGAAATAACATTGTCAGAATAGCTTATCCATTTGGTCATTTCGAAACCTGCCTGTAGATGAACATGTATGACATGTATCACTGGTATAGAAAATTTATATATTTCATCAAGCCATATTATTAACTGCCCTTTTGCGCAGTGTTCATCAAGCCACCTCTTGAATGAACTAACCGGATCTGCATTCAATTTGCAAAATGTTGATATAATTATTTTTTCATATAAATAATACGATGGAATAATTTGATTTTCTATTATTTTTTGTTGTTCAAGTTGGATTTAAAAGTATTCAATAAGTTATATTTTTTGAATTTTCGTTGTTATCTGATATGAGCTCATAGGAAAAATGTTGTTCCTAACACGTGCGCAAAGTGCCTTTTCCGTACGCAAAAACTTATACGAACTCCGCCTCGCGTCGCGGCGCCTATCTCTATTTGTGTGCGGAAAAGTAACACTTTGCACACTTGTTTGGAAAATAACTATTTCTAATATTTGTACTGTCCTGAAATTTGTCCGTACATAATGTTTTTGTTCAGTGGAAAACGTATTAGTTCGTTTACAATTTTATTGCTATTTTAGGCTTGTCTGAAATTTCTTAGTTAAAATGTAATTGTAGGTTTGGATGAATGTACCTGGTGCGTTCAAAATGCCAAATGTCACCACAAAGATGATAACTATGGCGTTTGTGGTTTGCAAGAGGACAGTCCGAGTCAAATTCCTGGATGGTGGGGTCCTAAAGGAATTGAAATCTTGAAACCCAATGAGTGTCGAAAGCTTGATAGACGACCTGGACTGACATTTGTTAAATACCATTATCCTGTCAACTATTCACAACCTGACACTGTTGCCATCATTAATGCTACTACCGTAAGTTAATTTCATTATTTTAATACATTTTCTAGTTTCAACTGAACTGACTTGAGGTCGATGGAATCGTTTGTTATTTTAGCGAAAATCAACTTTACTAATTCTTCAGATGAAAAAAAAACCTGGTGTTCTAGTTACAGACTGTGTTGTGATTAATGAAAATTCTCATCCCATGAGGATATTTGTTGGATACATTTGGAATTATAGTATATTTTAGGTCATACTGTCATTGGTTAACGATGAAAACCCTTGAATATATACTTCTTCACTGGCGGAAGTTTAATGCCGGGCCGATTTTTATTCCGAGAATGGAATAATATATATGTGTTGATTTTTTTTAACGAATAGCTTCATCACATATCATTTATCAATGGAAAGATCACTTAAAAACACGTTTGAGGTCGAATTCTATTATGCGGTATAACCCAATTATATTTCATATTTGGTATATTAGTATTATTTTCTCTTCTTTAATTATTTGCAGGTGGATTATATCAGTCCAACAAGTTCTTTAACTCGAGTCGATTTCAACGGAGGAGAGATGGTCGCTAGACTTTTGGGGTTTCTTAGGCTTCCGTCCAGCTGGCAGGAAATGTTGAACGTATGTGTCAGTTTCTGTTCGGCTACTTTAACAGTTTCTGATTATTCATTAGCTAATGTAACTTCGGAGGCGAAGGAATGCAACGCCGTGAAATGGCCGGACAATCTAACTTTGGATAGAATATCGGTCGATTTCAAGTCTAATAAGATGGTTAATATGGGCTATACATATATGCAACAGAGCAAGATGGAATTGCAACATTACAAAGAATTGGATGATGCACCTAAGGTAAGTAAATTTATATGTTGAAAGTTTCATGAAGGTACCTAGGTATTTGAAGAGTAAGTTTTGAGGTATGCAAAAAAAGCATTTTCCCATAAATGATGATTTCTCAGTTCGCCCTTTGAATTTGCAAAAAATCTTCGAATCGTGTATCTTCTCTATCAAAATGATATAATGACAAGCAATATCTCTGAATTATTAAGATTAACTGAATTGAAATCACGTAGAGGTACATTGTAAAAACAAGTAACTCGGTTTGCGAACTTTTTGGACGATATTCAAGATGAAAGTGTTTAAAAAATTTATGAAATTCAAGTCAAAGCGGTTAGATTAGATAATAATTTTTCTAGATTTGAGTCGATGCTTTATGAAATTGAACAGCTGGCAGATGAATTATTAGAGGCCGAAGATGCTGATTTACAAAAGGTTATTGGTACAATGTAATTCAATGTAAAACTTCCCCAGCTTTCACTTCCAGATTTCACTGGTTTTTATGATGAATGGACCCAATTTGTTGATACGTTCACATACCGGGTGACACAGGAGACATGTAGCAGCCTGTAGTTTTTTTATTTGAAGAGATAAAATTTTGAAATTCACAGGGGGTATATAATAAATGGTAGCGCACTTTACGAACTCAACGACAATTTTTTTCAACCACCTGTTTGACCGGAAGTGACCCCAATTATTTTTTTTATATGTCACCCTGTACATTTCTTCAGTCTATCTTTTTCGCCTTGAAATTCTCTATCCAACCATGTATCACAAAGTGGCATTTATTTCTTAATTCGCTGTTGAATTGCTTTTTATTCAAAAAGAATCAACTGGCTGTGACATGAATTCGATGATATATCGACACTTGATAGGCTTTGAAATTTGAAGATCATTAGTAAACCGATATTATTACATATTTTTTCGAATTCAGCTACTCGTACAGAAACTATCTGTCTTTTATTTTCGCCATGTACCTATCAAACTAAAATTGTTCCTCTTATACGATGATCCACTGGGCTATCAGTCTATTTTTTCATAATTATTTCACTTAGTAGGCGGTGTACCTACACAAAATGTTTTATGTGATTGACAGTTAATCGATTGCATCAATAATTTTTCTTCTTCATTTGTGTGTTGATTAAAATTGCATATTATCAATAGAGACGGAAAATGTATTCAAGGAACGAAAAAGTCGATATGTTGTTACTATGCAATTTCAATCAACACACAACTGGAGAAGAAAAATTATTGATGCAATCGATTAACTGTCAAACACATAAAACATTTTGTGTAGGTACATCGCCTACTAAGTGAAATAATTATGAAAAAAGACTGATAGCCCTGTGAATCATCGAATAAGAGGAACAATTTTAGTTTTATTATTCCAAATGGGAAGATCATGTGATAGGTACATGGCGAAAATAAAAGACAGATAGTTTCTGTACGAGTAGTTGAATTCGAAAAAATATGTTCCTATCTTAGATTCCTCAATATCATGAGTTATTTTCGAAGGTTTTCATCTTGACTCAAACAAGCTATTGACAACCTGCAGACATTGATCAGAATATCAAAACATTTTGAATAATATCGATTCACTAATGATCTTTAAATTTCAAAGCCTATCAAGTGTCGATATATCATGGAATTCACGTCACAGCCAACTTATTCTTTTTGAATAAGAAGCAATTCAACAGCGAATTAAGAAATAAATGCCACAAGATAGACTGAATAAATATACAGGGTGAAATTAAAAAAAATATTTGGGGTCACTTCCGGTCAAACAGGTGATTGAAAAAAATTGTCGTTGAGTTCGTAAAGTGCGCTTCCATTTATTATATACCCCCTGTGAATTTCAAAATTTTATCTCTTCAAATAAAAAAACTACAGGCTGCTACATGTCTCCTGTGTCACCCGGTATATCACTTATAGACAATAACTTGACTTTAAAAAATATTCAAAACTATTATTATTCACAGTCATGTTTAGAGGGCGAAGTGGCCAAATTGATTCAATCGCTAGAAATATCCGATGTCAATTACGCAGTGGCGTGTGGGGACTTGAAGAAGAGATATGAAAATAAAAAATTAATAATGAAATCGCAAAAAATTATTCAATTCTCCAGAATTCAAACCTTGCCTGGATTATTTCGGATCCATTAAATCATTGGATTTTTACAAATAAAATTCACTGCAATTTTGCACAAGTGAACGAGTTACAGAATCAACTAGAAATCTTTTGTTACTGGAAGAATCCGAGACCAAACAGACAATTTATTCAATTGAAGATTCTGAATGCGAGAAACATATTGTTGATACTTTCAGAAGATACCAGACTGGAAGACTTGTAGTTGAATTACCTAAGCGCGAAAACACACCTATTGCAAGGTAATAAAGAACAAACCATTAAGAGATTCAACAGTTTAGAAAGAAAAATGTCACGCAATGCTGAACTCAAGAAAACAATGTTAAATTTATGAAAAATATCCTGTACAAAAAAATTGTGTACGATCCTTAATTCGCTATTGCATTATTGTTTGGGGTGGGACTTTCAGAAAGTTACACAAAATACTCTACTGAAAGTATTGTTCCATGAAAGTAGGAGGTACGGAACTGAGCAAAGCTATAATGAAATTGGAGTTTTTCATCTCAAACAGTTATACTGATATCAATGCCTTATATGGACAAAAAACTGTGCATCATCCACAGAAATACGTTATCAGTTTACTCGAAGAATAGCAAGGCAAGAAATTTCTATTCCCAGGAATCACCTATCTGCTATAAAGAGAAGGTCGCTTGTTGACTCGTCTGCTTTTTTTACTATGTTACTGCAGTTTTAATGTGCTAATATTATTGAAACTTATATCAGAATATGCAGTTTGAGTTTTCCGTTAATGTGAAGTGAAGTGAAAGGAAAAACTTGAAAGATCTGCCCTGCAATTTGTGCATTTATACATGAGTGCAAGAGATCTAAAAGTTTTTACAATCAAAGTTTTTTACAAAACCTGTGCCAAACAAAAAACTGTTCTGTACAAAAACTAGAACTAAAAAAGGGTGAAGTCCAACTGAAATTAATACTACCAGTGGCGTATCAGATTTGGAAATTATATTAAACTATTCACATAATGACGGTAACTTGTTCCACATGTAGAAATGCAATAAACTATGAAGTAGAGGATTTCTTTCGATGTGATAGTTGCAGAATCTGTTTTCACTTGACCAAAACTTGCTCCAAACTTACTGCCTCAGAAATAAAAGTCCTAGAGTTACAAAAACGATCTTTGATCTTTTTTTGTGATGACTGCACAACTTCGTTCAAGCAAGTACCACAATTGTTACGTAAGGTTTCCCTGCTCGAAGGAGAAATAACAAAACTTAAAGAAGAAGTTGAAACACTAAAAATTAAGGAAAGAGCCAATGAAGGATTTGAAAAAGAAGATATAATTTGTGAAATGGTTGACAGACAAAACCGAGCCTCCAATATCATCCTCTACAATGTTGAAGAATGCCCACTACAAAATAAGACTGGAAAAGTGAACGAGGAGAAGAAAACTATTAGTTATGAACTTCAAAATTTCAATCTGAATATGGAAAATATTAAACTTTTTAGATTAGGTAAAATATTACCAAACAAGAATAGGCCTATAAAGGTTATTTTGGAATCGCCGGAAGATGCTAAACATATACTAAAGAATAAACAATTGATTAAAACCCCAAACATCAAGATTTCAGGAGACCAAACCCTAGCGCAAAGGGATTATTTCCGTAAAATAAAGGCACAACTGGATAACTTAGTTGCAAGTGGTGATAGTACAAAAACTATCAAATTTATAAATAACAAGCCTACAATCGTTCCAAAAAATCAGGTTCAATTTAAAAAAAACTTGTAAGTACTCCTAATAATATACAACTGAACTCGGATATTATATACATGAATGCTCAGAGTCTCATCAAGCACAAGGATGAAATTCATGATTGCCTGGTACGTTATAAGCCAAAAGTCCTACTACTGAGTGAAACCAGGACAACGCAGGATGTTGAAGATTCAGAAATAAAGATGGAACAGTATAATTGTGTACGATGTGACTCTAATAGTCGCTATACTGGAGGTGTAGTCTTTTATATACAACAAACTATTAATTTTTCTATCTATAAAACATTTGTACTCGATGGTAACTCTTGGTGTAAAATTTTAAAAATTGATTTTAAATCTTCAACATGGTTTATTGGCTGAAGATGATATGATAGCCAAGGGTCGTTTTATATTAGCTGGTGATTTTAATCTGAACTTTACAGATAATACATTCTATGTAAATAAAATTAAGAATTTATTCACAACCTATGGATTGAAGCAGTATGTATCAGAACCAACTCGTATCACATTAGAATCGGAAACATTGATTGATTATGTTATAACAAACCAAAACAATATTAGAACTAAGGTTCATTTAAGTCCAAGAATCACAGATCATTTGGTAATATCGGTTGACTTTCTTTCAAGTTCAGAGAACCAAAGTAATAAAATTAAAAGATATAGAAACTTTTGTGAGGCTAATCTTGATAAAATAAAAGATAAATTGATTTCATGTGAATGGGCACTGGATTCAGTTGATGTAAATATTATTTATCAAAAAGTACTTGATAATTGTACTACAACTATAAACGAAATAGCCCCCTTGAAAAATTGCCATTATAAAAACAATGTTCCATGGTTTGACAACGAAATATACGGTAAAATTAAGGAGAGAGATAAAGCCTATAAATCATTTATTAAATCGTCACCAAATGATAAACTACACAGATGGAATAGCTTTAAAGTACTCAGAAATGAGGTTGTGAATATGTTAAAAAAGAAAAAAGAAAATTACTATTATGAAAAAATTGACAGATATAAAAACAATTCTCAGATGATGTGGAAAACTTTAAAAGTACTTGTTAAAAGCAGTAATCAAAACTCGTTCAACCAGGTACAATTTGATTATGAGGATGTCTCATATATGGTGAATGAGGAGAAATCCTTGGTGGAAAACTTTAATAAGTATTTTGTTAAGAGTATTAATCAGGTAATCGAGAGCATACAAAGTGAAGAAATCTGGTCCAATTACGATTGTAATCTTTATAAGCCCATAACTAAATTCAAAATGGTGTCCATGAGGGAACTACGTGATATTGTTACCTCATTAGATAATAAATGTAACACCCATGAAATCCTGAATGCCAAAATATTGAAACAAATTTTTGAAACTGCTGGGCATGCTATACTGAATCTTGTCAATACTTCACTCCAGACAGGAAAAATACCCGATCTACTAAAGATTAGTACTATTATCCCAGTACCAAAGGTTAATAAGACAGTCAAAGCTGAGGAATTTCGGCCTATTAATACGTTGCCGCCCATTGAGAAAGTCCTAGAATATGCCGTATATAACCAAGTACTTGAATTTGTCAACGAAAATGAAATTCTTTTTGATAACCAATCTGGGTTTAGGAAAAAATATTCATGTGAATCGGCACTGCAGAGGTCTCTTAACTATATGATAAAAAAATTAGATGACAACAAGTATGTAATAGCTGTATTTTTAGATCTGAAGCGAGCCTTCGAAACCATTGACAGAAATATAATACTCAGTAAAATGAAAAGATATGGTATCGACGGCTATGTGTATGAATGGTTTTCAGATTATCTTAAAGGCAGAAAACAAAAAGTAAGAATTAATGACACTATCTCAAACGAAATATTAAACGATAAAGGAGTACCCCAGGGAAGTGTTTTGGGCCCCTTATTATTTATTATATATTTGAATGATATTAATTTATATGTTGACTGCGAATTTATCAACTTATTTGCTGATGATACGCTAATAGCCTGTAGCGACACAAACATAGACACTGCTGTGCAAAAAATGAATGTGATTCTCGAATCAGTTGATAAATTCATTAAAATCAACAAGTTAAAACTTAATGTAAACAAAACTACTGCTATGATTATTACTTCAAAGTACAAGTATGACAAAATTGATTTCAATAGGATTAATGTTAATATCAATGAACAAAATATTAAAATAAATAAAACAGTAAAATATCTAGGGTTTCAACTGGACTGTAATCTTACATATGAAAACCATTTCCAATATATACACAAAAAAATTTCAAAGAAACTATACTTTTTCTCTAGAATTTCAAGGCACCTATCATTAAATACCAAGATATTAGTTTATAAAACAATCATACAACCACACTTTGATTATTGCTCTTCAATTTTGTATTCCTTAAACCTGAACAAACAGTCTCAACTACAAAAACTACAAAATAGAGGAATGAGAATTATATTGAAAGTGAACCGATATACCTCTATAACCACGATGTTATCAACCTTGCACTGGCTTTCGGTATCTCAAAGACTATTATACCAGACAATGATATTCGTACATAAAATTGTTAATGATCTAGCAGCAACATATCTTAAACAATCTATAAGTTTCAACAGTGATATACATCAACACAACACTCGAAACAAGACTAACATACATATATACAGAACTAGTAACAAAAGCAGCATGAACTCAGTCTTCTTCAAGGGTTTTGATGCATACAATAAATTACCTTGCTCAATAAAATCTGCTTCATCCCTAAAAGTTTTCAAATCTAAGTTATTGCAATATATTTTTCAACAAGTGTAACTGAACTTTCAACTAAATTTTTACTGTATATATTAGTATCTTGATATATCTATTGTAGCATAATTTGTAATTTACCTACCATGATTAGAATAATAATTAAGGAATTTATTACATGTAATTGTTAATGTATTATTAGGAATGTCCTATTTACTAAATAAATGTTATATTGTATAGAAATAACACTAGAAATATACAAAATAAAATTAGGTTCAAAAAACAGGCCAGAATTTTTGTACTATTACCTTATAAGGATGTCGTGAAATCAATCCTAGAATAATTACATGCATTACATTGCAATTGCCATATTTGTGTGCCATATTTTGTTTTACTTTTCCTCGAACCTCTTACGCACTGTTAGTGATCAACATAAAAATGTACAAGAGAATATACCACAATACAAGCAAAGCTTAAGTGGCTTCTCTTATCGACAAAACGAATTGTTGAATCTACTTGAATAAACTTACTTACGATACTTAGCTCCTAGGGCGCTTAGTGAAGTTTGTGAGAACATCACAAAAATTCAAGTATGTGGTAAATTTTGTTAAAATGAACAACATTTTCCCTATTCAACAGAAAATTGAATGATACTAGCAACCAACTAGACATAATGTATCTATTCACAAAGTTCCTTCGTTTTGTAGATAGATCGCTCCAAATGCGTGAATTGAATCAACTCTCATTTTGTCATGAGTATCCCGAAATGAAAAAAAAAAAATTGTCAGATTTCGTGTGGCGGAAAAACTAAGGAACTTTTTTGTCCAAATGCCATATTTTGAGCACAGGAATCTGCAGTTCATCCATTTCCTTGTTAAACTGGGACAAGCTTCATATGGAAGGAATATTTTAGGCTATGATCAAGGTGTAAATCTGTGCATTAGGTACATTCTTTTTCATTTTAGGTTTTCACGTTTGAGTATCTAGAGCCATACGCGAACGGCACCTGCGAACAATACAAAAACTGCCTGCACTGTCTGACAGACTCACAATGCGGTTGGTGTGAGCTGACCAACTCCTGTCAATCGCGTTCCGAGGATGAAGACGTCAGCTGCTCCCTCGACGACGATTGGCAATACCTGACCCTCTTGCCCAGCAGTTGTTCCAACTGCTCGAACTACATCACGTGCGAGTCCTGCATCGATTCTAACCTATGCGAGTGGTGGGTGGACGAAGCAAGGTAATGGCTGTGATGATTAATTTATTCGTAACTTGAAATAGGTGGACCAAATGAGAATGAATATAAAAAACAACAAAAATTAAAGCATGGAGGGATGAGACTTTAGCGTATTGCGGAGTCGAGAATTCAGACTCTCTGAAAAGTCGAATACCAAGGTTCGCACAGCGTTTCATGAACTATGAACAACAAAATGCCCAACAATTCCTATACAGGTCCCAAGTAATCGTATGATTTGTTCACATGCAAAAATAAATCGAAAACTCTCTTGGTATTCCAGTACTTTTCTAATGGTGTGTTCACACAAGTTAACATTTACTACAACTCGCATCCATTATACCACGCGCAATAGCAATATCAGTTTGAAACTTCGGCAACCCACAAGAGAGCTTATAAAAATTCCATGTACTATAATGGGCGAGTGGACTTATTATGAATTATTGGCATTCAATTACTCCACTGTGTCGTTAGGGACCTAAATTAATTTTTGCAACACTTCTCACATTTTTTTATGTAAATACTGAGTGTATGCATCGAAATTGTTGAATTTTGGAGCTCATTTCAAACGTACCGTCATGGCCACCATTTGGCGATACGTCGAATAAATGTTGACGTCAGCTTTTATGCTGTTTCGTTATTGGTCAGATAATCTTCCGTTCCGACTCACGAAGCAAGGTTTTCAAGGCACCAATTATAATCAAGTTATCAAAAAAATGTAAGAGTCCTGTCGTTAAATAAAACATGATAGGAGGAACCCATGATATTATAGTTAATTATTGACTTTTTTGTGCAACCAGCATGTCCAAATATTTCCTATACCCCATAACAAAATATGTAAATGTTGGAGACTTGGCAACATTGTGCTGAATGCTGAAAAGGGACAAGACCTCGCCCACAAGTCGTGCGCGCCGTGTTGTCACATTCACCGCTTCAAATGTCCTCTGGTGTGAATCTATATAATTGCTATTGAAGATATTGTTGACAACTTGGATGTACGAAAGTCTTGTGGATTTCATTATATAACTAATAATATTGTGAAGGTAGTCAAATATGAATTGGCTCCTATATTGTTGAAAATTATCTCAAAATCTTTTCAAAGTGGAATTATTCCTGACAAAATGAAAATTGTGAAAGTATTGCCTATATACAAAACTGGCAGGAGAGATGATAGGAATAATTACAGACCCATTTCTGTTCTCCCGGTTCTTTCAAAAGTTATAGAAAAAATTATGAATTATCGTCTTCTTCATTTCCTGGAAAATAACAATTTGCTATACAGTGGTCAGTAAGGATTCCGTAGATCGAAAGACACTGAAGTAGCCGTTATGGATGTTATTTCAGATATCCAATTAGGAATAGATAAAAATGATCAATGCGGTTTATTGTCATTAGATCTATGCAAAGCTTTTGATACTGTCAACCATAACATTTTATTAAATAAATTATTTGCAATTGGTGTCAGAGGAAGAATTCATGATTGATTCAAAAATTATCTATCAAATAGAAAACAATATGTTGAAGTGAGTGGTACTTGTAGCTCCTTAATGAACATCTCATGCGGTGTTCCGCAAGCGTCAGTCTTGGGACCAGTTTTATTTTTGATCTAAATAAATTCAATATCAAACTTGGAATTGAGGGGAAAACTTAAATTATTTGCAGATGACACGACATTGATTTATTTCTCTAAAGATTCAAATCATATTATCATGGACATGAAAAGTGATTTAGAGAAAATATCCTCTTGGTTACAAGTTCATAAACTATCTCTCAATTATAACAAATCCTCATATATGTACATAGCAAAAAGAACATTGAATATTTCAAATAGAACACTATCCTTTAAAAAATAAAATCATCAAATAAACAGATGTAACAAAATTTTCAGGTCTTTATATTGATGAACGACTATTGTGGAACAAACATATAGATCATTTGAGAAAAATACTTAATCCTATTACAGGCATTTTATTCAAAATACGAAATTTCATTTCTACTAGATACTTGAAGAGTATTTATTTGTCTCTTATTTACTCAAAATTTCAATACCTAATATCTATATGGGGAAGTACCAATATTTCACGTTTGAGTCCACTAATGAAATTACAAAATAAGACATTGAAGTGTATTTTCAATTTAAATTTTCTCGAACCAACCATGAATTTATACAAACCTAGAGATTTATTGAATCTGACATCACTATATAAACTTAAAATATGTTGTTTTATTCAATTTGTCCTATATAAATTGAAAATTTCAAATTTAAATTTCAATGAAATCAATTCATTACATAATCATGGAACAAGACAATCAAATTTACTGATAGCAAATACGTTCAAGTCAAATATCGGCAAACAATCCATTTTTCACAAAGCAATCGTTCTATACAACTCATTACTAGGTCAATTGAGGAATATACAGGAAGCAAGTAGATTCAAAATTAACTTGAAAAAATATCTGCATCAGAGACTTCGATAATTCCATTTCTTATTTGAATACCTACTTATAAAAGACAAGGTTGATATTGCATGATTATTTGTATTTTTTTTTACTTGTTATATCTTATTATAATTTCATAATTGTATGTATAACATTATGTATATTGTTTATGTATCCCTATTATAAACAACTATGTTTTTGGGGTAATAAAGACAATCAATCAATCAATTACTCCACTGTGTCGTTAGGGACCTAAATTAATTTTTGCAACACCTCACACTTTTTTTATGTAAATATTGAGTGTATGCATCGAAATTGTTGAATTTCGGAGCTCATTTCAAACGTACCGTGGCCACTATTTGGCGATACGTCGAATAAATGTTGACGTCAGCTTTTATGCTGTTTCGTTATTGGTCAGATAATCTTCCGTTCCGACTCACGAAGCAAGGTTTTCAAGGCACCAATTATAATCAAGTTATCAAAAAGATGTAAGAGTCCTGTCGTTAAATAAAACATGATAGGAGGAACCCATGATATTATAATTAATTCTTGACTTTTTCGAGCAACCAGCATGTCCAAATATTTCCTATACTCCATAACAAAATATGTAAATGTTGGAGACTTGGCAACATTGTGCTGAATGCTGAAAAGGGACAAGACCTCGCCCACAAGTCGTGCGCGCCGTGTTGTCACATTCACCGCTTCAAATGTCCTCTGGTGTGAATCAATATAATTGCTATTGACACAAATGTATTATGAGCAATAAGCCACAGATCATAAGGGAACGTTTTGAGACAATTGATTTTGTATTGCTAAATAGGAATATTACCAATACATAATTGCGAATTTATGAATGTTTGAATAACTAATATTTCTGAGGGAACTGCTATTGTAACTAACTGTGGGTTTTTTAGCAAATTTTTCTAAATTGATCCGTCTGTTTCAATGAAATGAATCTCACACACTGCGGAATGTTGAGATGAGGACCAATTTTTACGAGGTATTGAATATATCCACTTTTCGCAGTTCTTCAACTTTAGGAAATATAAAAATTGAAACATATTTCTTTTCCAATGCGTAATTTGACTTACTGTCACACAGCAATTATTTGGCATCTCCTTATGAGAAAGTTTGGAATAACTTACTTTGCTTCTGAGTTTCAAATTTTTATTAGATTGAACTATTGAAATAACAACTTTTTTATCCTTTTCGTGATTTTAGTATCTAGCTTATTTTTTGAGGAAACAATAAAAACTCGATTTGCCTCCAAATTTTACTGCAGGTGTTTTCAAGACTTCCATTGAGATTACTCAATAACCCCAATCACAATCATTTTGAAATTCTAGGGCTTCCTCAGTCTCCAACCATACTGAATTTTGGCACCATGAGAGCTTATACAGGGAGGTTATAAATAAAAACAATTGATACTTTCAACTTCAACATCCTGTATCTCAAAAACGGATCAAGTTAGGATACATGTTTATGTGAACTTTATTTGCTAGAATATCACATGGAATCACCCCTTGAATTTTTTCGGTGCTATTTAGATACATCCCGTATAATACACTATATAATACAATTTTCTAACCCTAATCTACAGAAATAATCTTACACTAAATAATACAATTTCCTAACCCCAATATATAGCACACTAAAAAATTTCAAATGTCATTTGATATTCTTCACTGACATCAAAATCATTCTCACTATCATCAGCATCATCCTCTTCTACATTTATAATCACTCGTGAAACTTTGAATTATTTGTTCAGAATGGCGAACACTATTGGCCCCTATTTCTGGAGTAACTTGTCCAGAGACTCTTTCCACATATCCAGAGATTTTACCATAGAACTCCCATGAAAATATAGTGGTATGGTGGAAGTCTCAGTACCTGACCATACTGTTCTGCAAGAGTGTCTGCCATATAAACAGGGGGTGACTTGTTCCTAGAAATTAAAGAATATTTTAGCCCTATAGAATATTTTTATATTTCAAATCGCCTTGGCCCTTATGAAGAAAATCCATAGTAATTGAAGAACTTCAAAAAAGATCAAATTTACACTAATTTCAATGAAACACACATATTTCACTAACAGAGTAATTTCTGTGTGAAAAATGTCATATGTATTTTATTGAATCTTGAATAAGTCAAGTTTTTTTTATAAATAATTTCAGTAATTATATAGCCTACAATTTGACCAAATTCAGTAACTGTGGGTTCAACATTCCATAGTCAAACTGAATTCTGTTGTTGGTAAGCCATTCTTGTATGTCTGTTTTCTTTTTGAGGCTGCAGTGGGAATTTTATTCATCCTTGTACTGTGGTAACTCGCATTATCGATAACAATTGTGGAAGGTTTTTAAAAATTTTTCGACAATTGATTTTCAAACCAGTGGAGAAGGTTATGTTGGTTTCTCCATGGTGATCTTCATGTTCAGTTTTTGAAGAAAATACTAATTCTGCACCAGGAATGAATCCATCTCCACATCCATCATGTAGGACGATGAATCTAATATGAATCACATAATGCAATTTATATTTATTCATGAGAATCATAAAAAATA